TTCATCATTAAGTATCATCATAAACAGCATAATAAAGTCATCATCATCATCATGTAACATCAGTGTTATCATTCATCATTAAGTATCATCATAAATAGCATAATTAAGTTATCATCAATTTGTCGCATTTTGCGTCATCATCGCCATTTTAGTCAACATTACCATTATCACAATACAATATTATCGCTAGCATTCCTTGTTATCATCAACATCTTCTTATCACCATTATTTACGTTCATCATTATCATTAACCGTGTCATTATCATGCCTGTATCATGTACTCTCCTACAACATACTTCATCATCTGATTATGYATCATCCGGCATCATCTCATCATTAGCGCCATCATCATTATTATTATGCATTCATTATCCATATCCTTACGGACGCCACCAAAGGTAAAGATAATGTATTTTACTTCAAAACCGCAGAGTTGCGTATTGCCCAAATTCTCTCGAGCCAAGGACCTATGTTAAAGCGTTCGTAGTTGCGCCCTTAACCCTTTAAAACTATCAATGCTCCTCATAACGGGTATTTGAAGCTAAAGCAGATAGAATAACGAGATCATGTAATGTGGCACTAACCTGCTACAGTCAAGACCTTCGACATGAGGTCTGCATTTACACTGACCAGTCTTAGCGTCACACACTTGGTCATACGATCCACCCACGTCACAGTTACACCCTGAGGAAATTGAGATATTTATCAGTACATTCATAATTTTTGGCCTTTTGCCTTCCTGTTGGCTCAGTGGGTTGGAGATCACGTTATTGTGTGGAGGTAATAGGTTAAATCCCTAGCCGGACCAATGAACACTCAGTTGAAAAATATTATTGTGAATGGGTAGACCTTCGCTGTGGCTCAGATGACCACTTAAAATGGAGAAGTCCTCTAAATAAAGTTGATGCATCTTTAGTTTACATTTGCGTAACCTATATATCCAAACAACATTGTTTTTGATTATTTGGATAAATTGAGTTCAGTTTGTGAGCAGTGGGAAGAAAAATTCAAAAGCATGATGCATGTTCTTCATTTCCTTACGCCATTTTGAGTTCCTCTTTGCTCAGTGTTAACCTCGATCGTGTACAAATGTGTTCTTTTTTTATATTAAGGCCCAATATATAGTAAGGCATGTACGTACTACGGAACAATGCAAGTTGAATAAATGCCACAGGTTTTAGTTGAATAGCGGAATATCTTAACGCACAACCGAGACTAAGACCGAGCAAAGAGAACTCGAAACCAGAGTATTGACAGATTTGCCTAACAGCACATGGTGGTCAGCGTTTGGCCACCATTTGAAGCAGATAATGAGATTCAGAAAATATGAATTTTATTAGCTGATTGAAACCCAGCAGTAAGACGAAATGAAACCGTACCTGTGCAGCCAAATTCCCTTTTCTCTTCAAGTCCAAAGTACCCAACTTTGCACGTGTTACACCTCGTGCCTGTCACGTGCTGTTTGCATGTACACTGTCCATTTTTGTCATCACAGTTGGCAATTCCCGCCACTACCCCTGCCAAGTCACAATAGCACGCATCACAGCCCCTTGGGTTGTCACCACGAAGATTATGGAACCCAGGCTTACACTCGCCACAGACCAGACCTTGGACGTTGTCTTTGCAATCACATTGACCCTGGAATAAATGCATGACGTCATTAAGGGGCGCCTAAATATACAGTACTAAAATGTGACGTTATCCATCTGTCAGTCACTTGTCTTTGAAATCACATTGACCCTAGAATAATTTCATGACATTAAGGGAGCCTAAATATATAAAAAATATTATGTGACGTTATCAGTCGGAAATTACGTAAAATCTTGGGTCACAAAGAGCTTTAGAGACATTTGTGGAGATATCTTTCTAAATCTTGAATAAGGATATGTTTTTCAGAAGATTTCAAGCCAACAAATCCTTGACCTTTACACTGATTGCCAAGATCAAGCAACACCCCACCCCCCCCCCCCCCCCCCCCCCCCCCCCCCCCCCCCCCCCCCCCTGTGCCCATGGCTCCAGATGTTGTTAGCTATCCAAGGCAAGCATGTACATACAAATACCTACATCATTAGAATAAGAACAATCTCCAAATGGTCGTCCACTGATTGGTTTAATACCAGCTGGGTTACACTGACATCGTCTACAGTTGGGAAACCCATAGTTTCCCGCACTGCACTGGTTGCAGTTCAGCCCTCTGTAATCTCTTTTACACGTACACTGACCAGTATTCAGGTCACAAAATTCATGGACCGCACCTCGTGGGTCGCATGCACACTTGATACACCTTGGGTAGTCATAGTAACCAAGCTTGCAGTTTAAGCATTTGGTGCCGATGTAGTTGTCCTTACAAGTGCAGATACCTCTGGCGTCACAGCGTGGGGTGACAGAGCCTTCTTCAGAGCAGCCACAAGCTGATAATATTAAAGAATAACAATAAATTATGAATAATTAATAACAGCATGGAATATTATAGCGAAAATTTATTGAATCAATGAATGAATGACACCTTTATTTTAACAGGGCAGCTCTTTCAGTTACAAAAAATGTTGCTGTCATCAAAAGGAGCACTAAATATGGCATCCATCAAGGTAGTTCCATTTTGCATAATTTAAAGACCGTAATCTTAAACCATTCATATCTAAGGTTTTAAGACTTCAAATGTGCGGTTGAATTTCTTCCTAAATAATGAAAATTTATTGCAGTGTAATTGACCAGAAAAAAACCACCTTAGAATAAAGTACAAGATATCCAAGGATCATATTAACACAGAAATCTTGCATTCTTACACAAAATACGATCAAGGCATTTTCACAATTCCAATGTGTTTCATTAATTGGTACCATTCCATTACTCACTTCACTCATGTTGATGATATCTTCCAAAGAGTTGATTGGTACCAACAACACAATACATGGGACCCAAATTTGAGCAATTTTGTGGGTCTCATGGCCTGAGTTAAAAAGTGCTACGGAAGTGTAATCCCTGATATCAATTCCATTAAACTCATGATTAGGGCCTCAGTTAAGAGTAGCTTTACCTGTGCACTCAGGAAATCTGTAGTAGCCATCGTTACACTGATCACAACGAGCACCAGCGAAGTTCTTCAAGCAGATACAGCGACCAAATACTGGATCACAAATGCCAGGGGCAGTGCCTTCTGAATCGCAGTTACAAGCTGTAGAAACAAATAGAAAAGGCATCAAACACAACCATGAGAAATATACATATTACATTGAACTAAAAAGATCTACAGTGAGATCTTGTGCACACCTCTTGGGGATTATGGAACAGATTCGAAATGATGGGGTGCAAGACGTCTAAAGTTGAATTGAAGTGACGCAAGTCCAAAAGAGAAAATATTAATCCATTGTATAAAATGAATGAATGGAAAGAGCAGGAGCGTAGCCAGGATTTTCCTAAGGGGGAGGCCCAAATTTTAAAATCCTTCATTTTGTTTGAGCACCTGAAACTCTGAACCAAAAATAACTTGCATTACTTTTTACGTTTGAATTTAACATTACAACTTTAATTTATCATTAATTAAATTTTAGATTCTAAAAATCCGCCATTTTGTTGTGTGAAGGGGGAGGGCTGGCCCATTAGCGCCCCTACCTAAGCCCCTGAAAAAATATCAATAATAGCAGCGTTCCCTATATAAACAATGGTTTGCAACCATGCCAAGTGTAAGCATCCACATGTAGATTCAACTTGGTACAGCATTGGTGTCTGTTGTGCGACCCGGCCAGACTGACACTCAAGGTGTTGCCATGACCACCTGGTATTCAATGAGGAGATAGTGTAGATACTTTGAAATACTTACGCTTGCATTCAGGAAAGCTGTAGAAACCCCTGTTACACTGATTACACTGTCTGCCTTGGTAGGTTYGTCGGCAGCGGCACTGACCAGTTGTAGATTCACAATAGCTATCATAGGAACCATAATTATCGCAGTTACAGCCTGAAGAAATAAAAGAAACAAATAATCAAATGACTCAAAAAGGCCATGGTCTTGATGTAAATGGTTGGCATACTGTAGTAACCATGACAGTGTTGGGGTAGGTTAGTGTTGAGATCTTCATGCAATGCTCACTAGGAGTTAACATGAAAGAGGCAAGGTTTGAATCTTCACATTGAAGCCTCAGAATGGAGTCTTATACTTCAATGGAGAAAATGCTTTTGCTGATTTACCTTTCCTTAAACAGAAACCCTTTTACACCCCCCTCCTCAGAGGCAATGAATATCATTTGAAAGATTTTATGTTGCCAATAGTGCCATTTAATAAAAGTTAAAACAGTGATAAAAATCTTACGTTGGCATTGAGGGTATCCAAAGTAACCAGGTGCACAGCTGTCACACTTGTTACCAGCAAAGTTTGGCTTACAAGGGCACTGGTTTCCTGTAGGTCCACAGACTCGTCCAGTGGTGCCAGCAGGATTACAATCACAGGCTGAAAAAAAAGAATCCAGTCATGGTTTTGAATTATACAATAGAATAGTGGAATTAAAATCTTGACCCGCAAACAACGGCATGGTAGAACCCATTTTAAAAAGTAAAACAAGGAATATGAGGCAATTTTATCTTATTTTGGCATCACAGTGAACAATTGAAACAATTTATATTCCATTTTCAACAATCAGAGTTTTAAATTCTGGAATGTTCTAGCTAATTTGTTGAGTCTGTGGGACATTGCGACGGTAACTAAGGGGAGTCAGAGCTATGAGTTAGCATAGCAATGGAGAAAATAATCATGTTAAAGGGGTTTTTGATTGCGGTACATACGTCTACAGTCTGGGAATCCATAGAAGCCTTCTCTGCATCTGTCACAACGCGCTCCACCATATTTGGGTTTGCATTCACAGTCACCACTGCCATCGTAACAGCGACCAGTAGAGTATTTTGGATCACAGTTACAAGCTGAAATTAATTTAAAATATTAATGTAAGAAAATACTAGATCATTGGTCAAGAAAGTTTAAGTTTGAACAATTGCAGAATATCTTCAAATTTACTAGATTAGCCAAAATCACAGCCACAACTAAATACCATCCTAGTTTTTTTTAATGAGGGTAGTACTTAATAGCCCTCATTCCATGATTGAATTGGAATTTAGGAGTCGATTTTTATGGAGGGAGGAAAACCAGTGAACGAGGAGAAAAACCCTTGAAGTGCAGAAGAGAACCAACAAACAACTCTATACTCACAAACGACACCAAGCCCGACAGGATTCAGGTCACATTAATGAGAGGCGGCTACAAAAAACTTACTCCAGAGTATCTAGCAGTGAGTTTGTCATCCTCTTTAATTTTAATACAAAGTTAATAGATTCTTGTCACTTACGTCTGCAAGCATCCCGAGCGGTCTTGGGTATTCCAGTAGGATTATAGTATCCTTGTTTACATCTTTCACAGTTAATTCCAACTGTGTTGTGTTGGCAATTGACACAGACTCCACCTCCTTCATACCGATTGTTCAAATCAAGGCTTCTTTTGGTCTCGGCAACAACTGGGTCATAATAACATTCTGATGAATGTTGATGGCAGTTACAAGCTGTGGATCGTGGGAAAAATAAGAAAAAATAAGTATATTGAAGATACAAAATTTTAATAGCAATACTGTTTGAACTTCATATGTTCATACTGAATTGAAAAAACGTTGTCAGGTTCAAAAAAAGGTTATATCATCAAAGCTAAGACTGAAGGGGAGCATGGGAAGACAAACAATTGTTAATTTCATGCGTGCAGTTTTCCCTTCCTGTGCACATTTTATGCATCATGGCTTTAACATGTTGTTAATCCAGGTTGATAAACTTTGCTCTACTGTGCATTTTTACACGTCTATATACAAATATAATACACATTTCAGAGTACCCAAAATCCTTTTCAGTCTTAGCTTTGATGATATGACCTTCTCAAACCCAACTATGTTTTTTCAATTAAGTGTATATATTTAGTCAGAAATATATTTTTGAGAAAATACATCCTAAACAGGGGCATAGCAAGGTCTTGGTCATAGTTGGGGGGCAATGAACCATATTACTGTGAATACACTTGAGTGCGCATTTCATCTTTAGATTTCCCCGCCATATCTACAGGTTTAGCAAAGATTTCTCTTTGTACACCTTTGATCCTAAATAACTAAACTCAGAAAATGAAAATAAGAATGAAATTGCAAACCTTCACATTCATTGCTACTAGTTGGTGCTCCTGGCCTCCACCTTTTCTGCACAAACGAAGGACAACATTTCTCACATCGCGCACCGCATGTGTTGTGCTTGCAGCGGCAAACAAACTCAACTGCTGAGCCTCTCTGAGACTCCACGCACTGATCAGCATGGCCATTACACATGCAAATAGCACCAACAGAAATGTCCTTGATGGAATAAAAGTACTGAAAATGGATAAGAAGAATGGACATTAAAAACAACCAAAAATAACCAACACCTTTAAATTTTGAGAACCTTAACCAAAATAGGTGGCGAGTTTATATAAAATACCCAAGGAAATTCAACGGCTGCTGAGCCTTCTATACTTTAAAGGCTCGCAATATGTAGCATAATCTAATGCATTTACCACTCATAGGTGGATGGCGTAACACCTTTAACAGGTTTTGCAGCCCAAATGATAAGGCAGCTGACAGATCCAATTAGAATTTAARAGTTGATTTTTGTGGAGGGAGGAAAAACTGGGAAACCCTGAGGAAAAACCTTCGAATTACAGAAGAGAACCAACAAAAAACTCTACTCTCATATGACACCAGGATCAGCAGGAGTCGAACCCGGGTCGCATTGGTGAGAGGCTGCTCATTAGCAATGGCCACTACCCGTGCTTTCCATACAGCAATTTCCTACCCGACGCGTAACAGTAGGATCCTCCCTGGCCAGAGGAAGAAGATCTGTTAAAAGAGTCTTGACTCTCATCAGTCGCAGACGAAGGTGAGTAGCTCTGGTCCATTCCTAATAATAGAAAAAGCAATCGTTAAGAAGTGCTCATTAAAATGTTACAAACATCCAGATTGATATTAAAATAATCTAGCAAATAGCTGTCAGTATCAAACTAATAATGATAACAGACATAATAACTACCTGTAATGCAGAACTGTAGGAAAAGTTTGATGCACCAGGTCTTCCTGTAACCAATGAAATATGAATCTAGAAGAAAATGATTGGGAAATCAACTTCCATGGAAAATGGGGAAAACACACAATTATACACAAATGTCTTGTCCCAACAAAAGTGTATAAAAAGGTCCAGGTGAAAGACCTTTATGACCGTGACACCCTGTTTCTCCATTTCAGACTACATGTTATTCTCAAGTGCATCATTTCTTTGTTTAACGTTTGCACATCAGAAGACACATGAATATTGATACAACTCAAACAAAGAATCTTATCCTCAAAGGATAACATGTGATCTTTAATGGGAAAACATTGCACAAATTATGTCTATTGTAGAAGATAACATGCAAAAGCTAGTATCCAATCCAGGGATATATATAGTGATATTCCAAGCCCAAGGGAAGAGGGGGTACTCCAATTGGAAATGGGCGGGGATTCTCGTTGTACCTTTTAGGGTTCCAAATCTGCAATTTGGTAGGTCAACTTTAAAACACGCTTGCCCCGACAACTTTTAGCTGATTTCCACAAGGGGCGTGTGGACTAAAAATAGAATTACATCAAAATATAAATATATATATATATATACAGCATAAGCTATTTATCTAACTATCTATAATATGCTTAAAATCTTATTATTTCAATTGTAATACCTCCTCTTAGGGTGTCACAAAATTAATGGACCACCAGAGAGTAAGCTGGTACCTCTTAGGGTGTTCATCAGGTAGATTAAGAACCAGAGTTTAAATTTATGAATGCCATCATTAAAAAAATAAAAATATTCAATATACAAAGAGAAAGAGTTTACATACCTCCCCGTTCTCAAACGGTGGAATACTAGAATATTCCGTAGAGCATTTCACAGAATCATCCCTCGTTAGAGCAAGCAAGGTCTCTATACCAAAGTATCTTCGGCATTCACTTGGCGATGTGGCAAAGTGTTGCCATGGTGTGAAGGTGCGTCCATTGTCAACAGAACGTTCAAGCGACCAGACACCTGGTCGAGGAGCATTACCAGTCTTTATGATGACATATGCAACTTGATATTCCTGTTGATAACCAAATCAAAAATAAATATATTTAAAAATAGACATTTTCAAAAATTTCTAAAATACTGCTGCATCCAGATATTCTAGACTAATTTTCTCAAGAGTTTGCCTCATTTCAGGACCAGTATATTTGCAAATACCAATGGTAAAGTAAAGGATGCACAACATCAACAATACAAATACTTTGAAATTCCAACATTTTAAACTGGAACTAACTATTATAAACTGAATATTCTTCATTAAATGAAGTCTAACCCTGAGCAAACAATCCTAGGACCATTAAACAATCTTAACTAACTAATAACTAATTGTTTGCGGTACTTTCTTTGGACTACGCCTCATTATATAATAACTCTAGCTAAAACCAACCTTGAATAATTATTTCAATTTACATGCAACTCTCATAAAGCTTTTAAAAAACACTTGAAATATTATCGTGTTTTCATCTTAAACGAACCAAAATTACTTGAATAATGTCAAGCAACTTTTAAAATAAGGTAGTAAAAGAAAATTTCTAACTTTTAGAAAAAACCAGCTCGTCAAAAGTAAGAGAAAAGTTCTTTCAAATTCTGATTCTTGTCGCTCAAAATACCCGCGCTTCGTCGCCCTTGCACACGTGGTTGTACAAGGTGAAGAAAGCCTGGGTATTAGTCAGTAGTCTGTCTGTCCGATTTCCCCCCTCAAATTTATGAGCTTTTCTATGCGTCCTTCAAAAWACAATAATTATAAAGAATTCATATTCGATATGCATTAAAAATAAAATGATTAGAAAGCTATAAAGAGGGAAGATTTTTTTTCTAGTCATGAAACCGGAAACCTCAGTTGGACTGTATAACATGCTTTGCATTCTTTCGCCTTTTGGTTCATTCTGTTCTAGATCGAATTCTTTTGTTTACCATCGAAATGCGCAAAACGAAGTTGAACTTAAATAAAATTTAGATAACTGCCGAAGTAGATATGCATTGTAATGATAATCCATAAGCTTTAAAACACGTAAAAAAATTAGAATGTTTTTAAAACACTTTTTGTTGCTTGCACGGTTCACACCTTGGGTCATGAGGATTTCTCATCACTTCTCGTGTTACAAAATGGCTTCAAAGCAAAAATATATACCGTAACAAAACTAAATATAATAATAATAATGTGCGCTTTTGAATTAAATACTAATTTAGTAAACCTGTGGATGAACTTATTCTCTAAGTCAATTAAAAAGAGGTCTGTATTTGGAAGATTACTAAAGTTTCGTGACAAATTTTATGAAGCGCGCGCCACACGCGAAGCTGTAATGTCAATCAAAAAACCCCTATCACAGTCCTATATCATATCAATGAGTACATGACTTGTTTCTTTTTTCTTTCAAAATATGCTGATTGGTCTAAAAGATTCTCATTAAAGATAGACGCAAAATTAAGAATGGTTTTAAATAGGTTATGTATAAAACTCATACCCGTCTGAGATCAATCGTTATATTGACACTCTGATAGTTGAGTCCTCTTGAAAGCGGTGGAGACTGCCACCATTTTTCTGATCCATCAACTGCGTACTTTATAGCATGATCCTTGGAGTAGGAATCAGGAATACAGCGATCACACTCCAGTCCTTTGATTCCAAACTTGCCTGGGACACTCGCCAACTTGCAGTACAGTTCAGGCTCACTGACTCCCACTCCACATGTTGCTGTAGCCGTTATAGGTTTCCCAGCCGCTATGTTGATAGGTGGGGGGCGAAGTAGTTGGGATTCGTAGAGACTTGCGCTCAAAAGCAACAGAATAGGAATTGCTAGTAAGCCAAACCTATCCATGGTTGCAAAAAGCTCGGAGACAGAGATTTGAATAATGCTCTGAGCTACCTTGCCGCTAGACAAGCGCGAAGGTCACTGTAGGATTGATTTACTTGGAAGGTGGGGTTAGTTAGGTATCTAGCAAGTCAGACCGGAAATGATATTGGATTTCACAAAGTCTTACCACAAGGTGATTGATTGGTCGACTGATTGATTGATTGATCATGACCGATTGTTTGATTGACAGCGGAGATGATCTCTTAAATTTTGATTGTCTTCTAACAACAAAAATCAGAGGCGGTTTTGACTATGCCTTCTTTATATGACAGCTGATCAATTACTTTGCCAAGGTTGAGAGCCAAAGTGTGAAAAAATGTGCAGGATTTGGGCGAGTGGGCGCTCCCTTGTCCTCGACTCCCTTCTCCTCTCGTGAGAGTCTCTTGGGACTCGCCGGTAGCACAACAGTCAGCTCAAACACTAGTCTCCTACGCAGCCGATATTAGAGGAGTGAGTAACTCACCTTTATGAGAAGGATAGCAAAGAAAAAATATTAAGAATTTTTATTTCCGCGCAAATATTCCATCGGAACGATCTTCCCGCGAATTTTTCCTGGACCAATTAAAACCTAGAGCCAGTCTCCCTGAATTCCACACGAGGGAATAATAAACGTCCATGTTGGAATTAGTTCATATGTTGAAGATAAAATAAACCAATCTTGGCCTAAATCCTTTAGATTCAAAGACTAATAGACGAAAAGACTTGAAGAGAGAAGAGCCATGGCTTCTGAGGGGTTGGAGTACAACGAAGTTGCTCTTCTTGTTCGAGGATCTTTGGTAAGCAATGGCGATCGTGAAACTTTGTCAATTAGCCTTTCGATTTCTTACTGGTAAACTTCATTAGAAAGGGCTAGTTTTCGTAATAATAGCATTTATTAAACGTTAAACTAACAGAGATAAATAAACTTGCCAATCGTGTGTCGTATGGATAAATATGGATGAATCTCTAGTTAGTTTGCATCTAAGTTTTACCGAAATGAGCTCTAAGCTTAAGCTTATCTATTTCTTTTGTCAGTTGGGTATGGTGGTTTTTTTAAATCTTTTTGCGCTGTTCTTTCACTTCCATAATGTGCCCAACAATATCTATGTTTTATTCAGTTTGAGTCCTGGTTCTGAAGGGAACTAATTTTTGGTATCAATCTGTGACGATGAATATATGCAGGGGCCGCGGACAACCCGAAAAGGTGGGGGGGGGGGGGGGCTAAGATTGGAAAATATGAGAGATTAATATTGGAAAAAGTTGGGGCTAAGACTGGAAAATATAAGAGACTAGTATGGAAAAAGGAAAAAATTAGGGGTTCTGTAGYCTCCTTCCCCCATCACCTCCRCGGCCCCTGATATGTCTGGTATTATCAGGGATGCAAGATAAAACACCCTGTATTTCATATTTGACTGATTGGCCAACATGTTTGACAGCATGACACTATATTTAGAGGCTCACCTTTTTATCTCCTTTCACACCCAAGAATTCATGCAATTTTCTGTTGTTACAAAATAGAGTTTTGGTGAATGTCAATCAAAGCGTTTCCATAACATTATCATAAAACACAGAGTTTTCAAAAGCACATGCCTATGGAATGTCATGGAAATGCCTTGATTGATGCCTACCAAAGCCTACTTTGTTGAGACTGCAAATTGTAACATCTTGATCCTGTGATTGAGTAGCACTTTAAAATTTGAAGGTTTTGCAACTAGTTATCAGCTGTTTGAATTTGGTCTCGAAACAGCCTTTATCTTTCCTCAGGTTTACTCATGTATTGATTATACATCTTTACTCTTTTTAGAATGCAGGAAGATTAAAACTTCACAAAAATGGGGTTGTTTTTAAAGCAAGTAAAACTGGAAAAGTTGACCAAATTAACAAAGATGATATTGAGGCAGCTAATTGGAGGCGTGTTGCAAGAGGACATGAGTTGAAAGTTTTGTTAAAATCTGGGGCACAGTATAGATTTAATGGATTTAAAGAAAGTGTAAGTAAATTTTATGATTTTATGGTATAACTGAGCTAAAACAATTGCCCAGTCATCATGACCTGCAATCAATTATTGATCAACCAGTACTTTTAGCCCTCAGATAGCTTTTCAAAGTTGTCCCAGTTGAAATGTCTGCACTGCAAGCTTATCCATTAATAACTTTACTTTTTGAAATTAATTTTTTTCTTGTAGGACTATCAAAATCTCTCTGCATTTCTCTCCCAATTCTACAACACCAAAATCAAAGATACTGAGCTCTCTGTTAAAGGATGGAACTGGGGAACAGCTAAATTTGAAGGTACCATCAGGGATGAATCCCAGTACTCAATAGACATCTTTACCTTAGGTATATTGTTTGCTCATTTCAGACCAAGTGTCATTCCCTAGAGTATCATTTCTAATAATTCTTTGTTTAATGGTTACACATGAGAAGACCCATAAATGGATACAACTCAAGCAAGGATGTCTTTCTTGAGATAATGACACAGTCTGAAATGGGAAAACATTACAATCAAGATAAAGAGGTCTATCTAATTGTGTTGACTTAAGGGCTTCCTAAATATTGATTGGCACTTAACCACACCACAATACAATGTTTATGACCCAAATTTGAGCARTTAGGTTGATCCCAGTACCTACAATTTAGTAATCTTATATCAATCTCTGGTTGATTCAATACGATATCTCAGTGTCTCAAACATACACATAGTCACTGGATTTCAACAGATGTAACTAAAAGGTTTTATCATTATACTTCAGGGACAGCTTTATCATTTGATGTGGATGGAAAACCAGCATTTGAGATACCGCTGAAGGATGTTTCACAAGCAACAACTGCAGGTATAAATAGAGCTCTCTATTATTTCATTGCCATTTGCAAGCAAGGCTAGTCCAGGTGAAAATGAAGCAATCTAATTGGATCTCTGAGTGGTCAAAATCCTGAAGTTTGGTCAGAAGGTACCGGTCAGGACTACCATTTTGAAGTTCAAATTTTCTTGTTCTGGCTTTAAAGCACTTTATGGATGGACAAAGCTTGTTTACTCTAGACATCTACAGTAACATATAGCTTGGTGTAGTTTGTAACGTGTAGTATTGTGTACTTGACATACTTGCTGGCACTATAGGATGCATTGGACACACATAATGCATGCATATTCCTGTGAGCTGTACTGTAAATTCCACTTTTTCTAGGGCTCAGTCTTGCTGTTCTTTGTTAATTCTTATTTTTTGGACTGTCATGAACAGGCAACAATGAAGTTACCCTTGAGTTTCATCAACATGATGATGCTGAGATTTCTTTAATGGAAATGAGGTTTTATATCCCACAAGTAGCAGACAGCACAGATGCTGACCCAGTCAAGGTACAATATATACCAATTTAGAACATGCCCACTCAACATATGCTGTACTCTCAGGAGTAGTTATTAAGTGGGAGGAGGGTTGAGTGAGGCCTAAAGCAGCCCTCCAGGGCACCCATATTAATTTTGTGAAGGATTCTTTTTTTAAGCATGTAGAAACTATTTCAAAACTTAGATTACATAGTGAAGGATTAGTAATGATAAAAAGGTAAATTATACACTGTGAAAAGATGAAAGGAAAGGACGCTAGTTCTTCGTCAGAGTAAAAGAGAAGTGAAGAATAGAGAAGGATTCATTTCTAAAGGATGTAGAAATTGTATTGAACTTAGATTAACATGGACCTTGACCTAGGGTCCTTTCGCTGCCCTTTTAAAGCTACTAAATAAAAAAATAATATAGATAATATAGAGGCCAATTAAGTTGTCCATTGAGCTCTTGCAGCAGTGTGTGTCTACAATGATATTTTTATGCCAACCTATTTTTTTTCAGACTTTCCATGATCATGTTATATCCAAAGCTGATATCATCCAGATAACAGGAGATGCTATTGTGACTATTCCTGATGTGGCTTGCTTAACACCAAGGTTCATTACACATTATTAGTACCATGAGTGGACAACTATCAGCCGAGAATTAATCTCATTACTTTTTCTCTTTAGGGGTCGTTACACCATGAAAGTATTCCCTACCTTCTTGCAGCTTCATGGTAAAACCTATGACTATAAAATTCCATACACAACCATTCTCAGACTCTTCCTTCTCCCTCATAAAGACCAGAGATTCATGTTCTTTGTGGTAAGTAGCAAGTCTGGTGACTACATGGTCATAACACTAATGTACTAACAAATCCCTCATGACTTTAAAGTGCACTGCTGCTACATGTACTAGCTCCTTAATATACAGCCCACAAAACACCCTCTGCTCGTAAGTGTAAAGGACATTGAGACAATATGAAATGTGCTATATAAGAACCCCATTATTATTATTATGATTATTATGATTATTATGATGATTACTATTATTCTTATATATGTGCAGTACTAAAACGTATAGATGCAAAAAATCTATGACCTGTATAGGGCGCACAGCGTAACCTATACAGTCTAAAAGGAAACTAACTACAATAAATTTAAATAGATGTCCCTATAAAATCATTGTCTTTTAAAACGGTTTGTGAAGAAAAAATATATATATATTATATTATTATATTATTATTATTATTACTATTATTATTATTATTATTATTATTATTACTATTTTTATTATGGTGACCCTCAGAGATTCAGCTTGATCTTACCTCAGAAAACAAAAAGCAATTTTGGATCTTTTACTAGTATTTAAAACACAGTATTATGAAATGGAGGGTATTGAGTGTCACATAAAATTATGTAGTGGATTGATTATAAACCTCTTGGTGAAAGTGCACTTTATTGGATCTCTCACTTGATTCTAGGGTTTTTCTCTATGTTCTCCAGTTTTCATCTCTCTACAAAACCAGCTAAATTCCAATTTGATGTGTGAATTACCTGTGCCCTGATTTAGATCAGCCCAGAGGTTGTTTCAGGGCAACGCCATAACAATTTTGCACCCCTACCAAAAAGCAATCTAGAATACTCAGTTGAGTTTGTGTCTTTTGTTGTAGATAAGCATGGATCCACCCATCAAGCAGGGACAGACACGTTATCCTTTCCTGATAACACAGTTCGAAAAGCATGACGAGTTTGATGTCAAGTTGAACATGTCAGAGTAAGTTGTTTGTGTTTAACACGAAAAACTTATTTAACCTCGGTTATGTTGCTATCTAAATATTTTTAATAAAAAGAACTTTTTTTGTCGAAGAGCAATGAATTATTAGTCATTTTCATTTCATTATACTAATCTTTTGCTTGTTTTATAGAGAAGAAATCAAAGAAAAATATGAAGATAAGATAACACAAGAAATGAGTGGACCAGTCTATGAAATCATTAGTAGGCTTATGAAGGCGGTTGTAGGAAAGAAGATTACAGTACCTGGCTCCTTTAAAAGGTAAGACCAAATAGACCTCTTGGCATATCCTCGAGAATAAGATTCTTTGTTTGAGTCACATCCATATTCATCTGTGCCTTCTCATGTGCAGCCATTTAATGACAAATTATTACTCTAAGGAAATTATGACGTGGTCGGAAATGGGGAAAAATCATGTTTAAGTTAAAAAGGTCTGTCAAGATGTACCTGTGTGTGGATTGTGCCATTCCTTTTGTGCAGATGATTGTCATATTACTTTTAACAATGCTTTTATTTCTCAATTTTATCTGCCAAACTGTGAAGCAACATCCATGCTGATCTTAAACAAAGTCAGGGCATGGCTAAAATAAAATTGAAATTTAGCATCTTAGGTTTTGCGGAGGGAGGAAAACCAGAAAACCCAGAGAAAAAGCCCTAGAATTGAGGGAGAGGGATATTGCTATATATATTACCCAATAAACTCTACTCAAATGTGATACCAAGTCCAGGAATCAAACCTGAGATGTTCCAAGAGGTGAGAGGTTAGCATACCATTAAATAACTCTTGCTTTCAAGATTCTGTAGGTTTTGGCGAAGTTACTACTAAAAAAATCAGTGGTACTGGAATATATAATATATCTTTAAAAAACAATATGTTTTCAGCAATGCTGGTGGAAGTGGCATGACCTGTTCTTATCGAGCTGGCAGTGGTCTTCTGTATCCCTTGGAAAGAGGATTCATTTTCGTGCACAAGCCTCCAGTCCATGTTCGCTTTGACGAGATCTCTTGTGTGAACTTTGCTCGTGTATCTGGTGGTGGCAGTTCAAGCAGGTCATTTGACTTTGAAGTGGAAACCAAAAATGGTACTACAATTGTTTTCAGCAATATTGAAAGGTAAGAAGAACTAAGGTGAACAAAAAACACACACATATTCATAGGCCGTAAAGAGTATGATTTGTGTTGAATATTGTTATATTTATCATGTTATTACGCATTCAATTCAGGGAAGAATATAGCAGACTGTTTGACTTTGTGACTGTAAAGAACTTGCGTATCAAGAATACAGGAAAGGTAACTATTTTAGTGTACAAGGTTACAGTTTTTAGCTCTAATAGACAAATTATTTAAAACCAACATGTTAATATCATACAATAGACCATTTCACGGATCCCGTTACTCAACCTCAGCCTCGTCAGTGTGTAATGTATTCTTTAGAAATTGCCTACAACCTGTGAAATTTTTAAGTGTTTCAATTGTTCGTTGATGTATAAATTCCTTTCATTACTGCGGACTGTATGTAGTCAAATTCTAAAGAATAATTACATGCTGACGAGGCTGAAGTTGAGTAACGGGATCCGTTAAATGGCCTATTAGTTAATAGTTGGGAGCTTCTAATAAAGCATATTGTATTGTATTGTAAAGTTAGGTAGCTGCGCCCAAACTGAAAAATAAATAAAAACAATTTGACTTGAGTGTTCATGGTAAGAGTAGGACACAATAATCCTTATATCAGTTTTTTTTAACTTCTACAGGTCAAAAATTCCAAAAAGGGTCAAAAATATGATGAGGACTTGTTCAACTCTGATGATGATGAACATGATGCTTATCTGGAACAAGTCAAAGCTGAGGCCGCTGAAAAAGATTCAGAGTCCGAAGAAGATGGTAGGGACATGCTACATGCTTTTTGTAGATTGGCAATGTTAATCGACTGCAGAAAGTTGTCACCATGTGATGATTGAGGTGACAATTGTGACAGGGCAATCATGTAATACACTGCTGTCAATCAAATAAAACATTCCCATGTACCTTCTTTCAGTTTGCATATACTGTTACATATATGTACTCTAACAATTTTATTGATTAATGGTAATTTTTTTAAAGTTTGTAAAAGTAAATAGTACTCATAGAAGGTACATGGGACTGACTTATTTGTCTTAAGGTAGTTTAAAGGCAATTTACCTGTCACAACATTTGTCTCAATTGGTGTGTACCTATGAAAAAGTGGTAAAACACACAACACTCAACTCATATTGATATTAGGTAAAGAAGGGAAAACAGATTTGTTTAAGAAAAACCATTAATCAAGCTCAGCTAACTAGTTAGGAATTAAATCTAAAGCACAGTAATTAGAATAAAACAGTCAAACACTACACTACCAACAGTTGCTTTATTCAGTTATGTTGTAATATCTCATTCACAATTTCTAATGTTATACAGATTCAGATGATGAATCATTTGCTCCTGGTGATGAGAGTGATAGAGATATTAGGGAAGAGTAAGTAGCCTTGTTCTCATGCTTTTATTCAATATTGGTCATTTCTCTTTTCTTTCTTTCTTTTTTTTTTTT